ATGGTTTATGCTGGTCCTTTGCTGGTTTAAGATGGTCCTTTGCTGGTTTATGCTGGTCCTTTGCTGGTTTAAGATGGTCTTTTGCTGGTTTAAGCTGATCATTTGCTGGTTTAAGATGGTCCTTTTGCTGGTTTAAAAGATGGTCCTTTGCTGGTTTATGCTGGTCCTTTACTGGTTTATGCTGGTCCTTTGCTGGTTTAAGATGGTCCTTTGCTGGTTTATGCTGGTCCTTTGCTGGTTTAAGCTGGTCATTTGCTGGTTTAAGCTGGTCCTTTGCTGGTTTAAGATGGTCCTTTGCTGGTTTATGTTGGTCCTTTGGTGGTTTATGCTGGTCCTTTGCTGGTTTAAGATGGTCCTTTGCTGGTTTATGCTGGTCCTTTGTCAGCACATGACCAGCATAAACCAGCAAAAGGACCAGCTTAAACCATCATCTTAGCGTCAAAACATACCTAACCAGCATATGCTGGTTTTTTCAACAGGGTTGGCACTGTTTTTGAACTGAATGAATCAACACTGAACTGATTTGAGCTGAATAATGGCTCGGTTATATTCTGTAGAGCTGCTTTACAGCAGAGTCTAGTTCAGTTCACTTCATAACTGATGAACTTTGCAACATTTACACTGTTGTTGAGCCGTATTGAACCTTAGAGATATTAACCATGGTTTTATTGTAGTAAAAGTGTAGTGACCGTGTTTTTTTGGTGTATTGATTACCATTTGTTTTACTATAAAGACCATGGTTAAAGTAGCAAAAGCATAGTTAATTTGTGGTTATAACTATAGTATTTTATTTTAACAAATGATTAATTTTCGTAAAGGTAATGACACTATTGTCTTATTAGAGTCTATAGTATGTCCACATTTAAGTAGCTAAGTGTGTAACTCATCTTTAAAAAGTCAGTAATTCATGTCAGTTAATATATACAGTGCTATATGTTTGTGTGAGTTATGCACAATAATATAGCAACACATTTAAAATGCTTTAGTTCTTGATGGAACAGCAATTTATTTCTGACAGAAAACTAAACTTTTTCAAAACAGCACATTACAAGGGTATTTTTAAGATATTATCAAAGGCTCAGTGATCAAGTACAATGCATTTTGCTTGTATACTACATTTCCTTCAACAAAAAAAGAAGAAAAACAAGCAAACCTAAAAAGCTCAGACTGATGTACAGTGATTGTACGATATTTCTGTTTGGCTCAAACTGGGCAAAAAATAAACCAGATCGCTGCATCTATAGTACAAGAGGCACAAAAGACACTGAAAACAAAGGACATGCCCTATACATAAATGACATCTGTGAACACTTTTGCAGCTTTGATTTCATTACGATGATTATTTGATTATTCTTTGAAAGTAATCAGTGTGAACTACACCTGGAAATATAAATCGGCATTTATTTTGTACATTTTCTGCAATGAAATAAACATTTGTCTGTACATCACGTTTTTCAACACCATGCAAATGAAAACAATTTTTTCTTTTTTTTACGTTACTGGGTTTAACTCCAAAAATCACCCTTCACCATCCATAATCAAACATCGTTCACAGACTGCTTAAATTATGACAAATAAAAAACATGAGGTAAGAAAATAGTCATGATAGATCATGCAGCACAAGCTAATCAGAAACAAAAGGTGACAAAGTTTTTAAAAAAAACTAAAAAAACAACAACAATAAAATGTGCGTTACAAAACAAATACAGCTTTTCTTCTTTGGTTACAAATATGTCGTACGAACTAATTCACAGCTCCTAAAATACAAAACGTATCAGAATTGGAAATCAGAATTTAAGTACTTAGGGAAAGTATAGCAAGTATACTTAATTAGTATACTTAATTAAATCCGAAAGGAAAATACTTGATAACTGCTGCTCACCTGTACAACATACTTTAATACTTTACAATCTATACACATGTACATTCAACCCCGAACCAACTCAACTATACAGGATTGTGTATCAGCAATGTTGTTGGATCACTTTTAGTGTTGGAACTGTGCCATGGGGACATTATTGCCTTATTAAACAAGTATCTTACATTTCAGAAACCAAAAGAACGGTTCTTTATTTTATATATATATATATATATATATATATATATATATATATATATATATATATAATAGATCTCCGTTACATTGTTCATTTACATTATGAAAATAGCAGCCCTCTAATAAATATATGCAAACAGCAAAACTAAAGAGGCTCTCCCAAGCTTTCCACGGTGTTTGGCTTCGCCTGAGACTCTGAAAGCGACAGACAAGCTTCCTGCTAATTCTACTGAACTCTTTCGCCTGCGCCTGCCAACAGCCCATACCCACAGAAAGCTACCGCACCCATCATGGAGCCAAGTCTGCTTCTCTCAAAATGATTGTCTAATACTGGGAAAGCCAAGCAGCGCGTATAACGAAGCATGGCTCTCCGCAAGTGGCAAACCAAAACCTCCTTTGCAGATTGTCATTTTTTTTGCTGTTCTTCACGCTGTGGACACGTTGGGTTGCGGGGGCAAGGCCACGAGTTTGCTTCCTTCCTGTAGGATGGCGTTGACCACCGTCTGTTGGGGTGAAGTGCTGCCGAGGTTGTTGAGCTGGGTCAGCTGCTCAGTGTTGGCCAGAGATTTTAATACTGCGTTCTCCCTCTCCAGAAGCGAGTTCCTCTCAAAGAGCTCCTTGATCTGCTCCTTCAAGACCTCCACTTCCTCGCGCACGGCGTACATTAAATGGCTTTTCACAAGATCCTGAGGAGGAGAGCACAACGGTGGAAAATTTATAGTGAATTATATCAGACGCATTTTTGCTTAAAACTAAAAATAAATTATGTTTGGCTTATCTTACCAGCACTATCTAATAGGGCTGGGTAAAAAAATATAGATTTCTCGATATTAATCGATTCTCTTTTTTACGGAACGATATCGATTCTTAAATCCTAAGAATCGATTAGTCTCGCCTGTTTTCAGTTAATGGACGGAACGTTGAAGGGCACCTCCCATCCAATAAATCTCAAGCATTGTGCTGTGGTGCTTTTAATATGAAACAATGTCTCAGATTTCAAATTCTGTCCATTGTATTGCAGTATTCAAACAATAAATGCAGTTTTGACACGGTTTAATGTGGAGTGACAGATCGCTGTAGCGCCTCAGTGAACTGATAATCTCCTCCACATTAATACCAGCTTCGGCATAAAATAAACATGACTAAACATCCGTAGGCAAGTTAAAGAGTACATCTTTACAATCCGTATCCTGTCTCATGTAATCACTCAATCTGTGTTTCAGCCGCGCAAAGACGTCAATATAACTGCTTGTAAACAATGTAACGTAACGTCACATTTACCTCAGAAAAACATATTCGGTGACCATAAACTCATTAGCCAGATAGAAAAATAAACTGTAGAGAGGGGCATTGTGCTAAATATATGCACGAAATAACATATTCATTATACATTTTACTGTTCTTCAATGTTGAATTTATGTTTGAATAAATCCATCGACAGCCACCATTATGTTTATATTAAAAAAACGAATTGAAGTAGAGATATTATGTAATTGTAACTATTATTTTAAAAACTTAAATTTTAACCTTCAATATTATAGTAATGGAGAACCAACTGACTCTCGTGTATATTTTACAGCATTAGTTGAGAGATTGTTTTTCCTTGAGAAAATTTGGCATGTACTGTACCTGATATATATACAAAATAATCCAATATTGGATCGAATCGCAAGCTTGTGAATGAGAATCGAATCGTGAAATTTGTGTCAAAACCCAGCCC